ATACCTAGTAATGGGATGGCTGGGTCAAATGGTATTTCTAATTCCAACTTTTGAAGGAATCGCCATACTGCTTTCCACAATGGTTGTACCATTTTGCAGTCCCACCAGCAGTGTATGAGAGTTCATTAGGGTTATTCTTAGCGCCCTTGTCGACTTGTCTTCTTGTCCTAGCCTCCCTGGGGTGGTGCAATCCTGCAGCATTGTTGACAGTTTCCTCGTGCTGCAGAAGATTTGGGAGATTTTGACAGTGACACTCATATGCCCACCGTCTGGGTCCTCCCCTGAGTTGTCCTGGCTCTGTCACCTGCCTGTCTGTCTTTCCCCATCAGTCCAGGTGTTGTTGTTGTCAGATGCTGTCGAGTCAGATCTGACACCGTGACCCACGTACAACCGAACCAAATCCTTGCTGTGCTTGAGCCCATCACTGCAACCACTGTGCCATTCCATCTTGTTGAGGGTCTTCCTTTTTATCAACCCTCTACTTTACCAAACATGATGTCCTTCTCACCAAAGCAGGTGAGGTGAAGTCTGGTCATTCTCTCTTCTCAGGAGCATTCTGGCTGTGTTTCTTTAAGGACAGACTTGTTCATTCTGGCAGTGCATGGCATTTTCAGTATTCTTCACCACCACCACAATTCAAAGGCATCACCTCTTCTTTGATCTTCCTTATTTATTGTCCAGCTTTCACATGCCTGTGTTGTTGTTGTTGTTGTTAGGTGCTGTCAAGTTGGCTCCAACTCATAGCCACCCTGTGTACAACAGAAAACAACACTGCTTGGTATGCGCCATGATGCGATTGAAAAGACTGGGGCTTGGGCCAGGCACACCTTAGTCTTCAAAGTGACGTCTTTGGTTTCTAACACTTTAAAGAGGTCTCTGGCAGCAGATTTGCCCAGTGCAGTATGACCTCTGATTTCTTAACTGCTGCTTCCATGGGTGTTGATTGTGGATCCAAGTAAATTGCAATCCCTGACAACTTCAGTCTTTTCCTCATTTATCACAATGTTGCTTATTGCTTCAATTGTGAGGATTTTTGTTTTCTCATGTTTGAGGTATAATCCATATCACAGACTATAGTGTTTGATTTTCATCAAATAAGTGTTTCAAGTCATCTTCATTTTCAGTAAGCGAGGTTGTGTCATCCACATATCACAGGTTGTTAATGAGTTTTTCCGCAATCTTGATGCCACGTTCTTCTTCATATAGTCCAGCTTCTCAGATTATTTGCTCATCATACAGATGGAATCAGTTGGTGGAAGGATACAACTGTGACTCACTCCTTTCCTGATTTTAAACCATGCAGTGTCCCCTTGCTCTGTTCATACAGCAGCCTCCTGGTCTCTATACAGGTTCCTCGTGAGCACAATGAAGTGTTCTGGAATTCCCCTTCTTCTCAGTGTTATCCATAATCGGTTATGATCCACACAGTTGAATGTCTTGGCGTAGTCAACAACACAGGTAGATCTTTGTGGTGCTCTTTGCTCTCAGCCAGGATCCACTGTGAATCAGCAGTGATATCCTTCATTTCACGTTGTGTTCTGATTCCAGGTTGACTTTCTGGAAGATCCCTCTCAATGTACTGCTGCAAGCATTGTTGAATTACCTTCAGCAAAATTTTACTTGCATGTGATATAATGGGAGCTGTGGTAGTGTAGTGCCAAGGCATTTGACTGCTAACCAGAAGGCTGGCAGTTCAAACCCATCAGCTACTCCTTGGAAGGAAGGTTGGGCAATCTACTTCTGTAGTGTTACCACCTCAGAAACTCAAGGAGGGGTCGCTGTGAGTCAGATCTGACTCGATGGCAGTGAGTTTTTTTAGTGATGTTAGCAATAGTGCTTGATAATGTCCACATCCCATATGTGGAAATTATCAGTCCAGTAGCTGCACGTTTTAACTCATGGACGGGTGAGTTCAGGGTTTGTATTAGTGTCCAGTGGACAGTGCCTTTAATATAAGTGTTCTTTTAGGGACTTTTACTTTGCATCCCGAGGAGTTCAGTGAGATACAGTATTCATACAGAAGGGGTCACGTGCACATACTGGTGCACCCCTCAATTACCATGACTCCTCCCCCTGCTCTGCAGAGCAGGAGCCTCTTCGAACATGAACCTGGTTGTTCTCCAGGGGATGTTCACGAAGGGGAGACATGGTTAATGGTTAGGTCAGAAAGCCCGTTCGTTCCGTTGAGCAGCTGTGCAGGAGAGCATGTGGTCCAGTCCTCGTCAACAGGCCTGTCTGGAAGATGCTTGCTCCTTCGATAGAGGACAGCCTGGGCGCTGTCTGGTTCCCAGGCAGCTCGGTTGCAAAGAAGTCTGTCTGTGTCTGTCCTGTATGGCCCACAGCCATCGTCCGGCAGGAGGGGCTTCTGTGGGGGGCTTATCAGTCGGGGTGAGCTCCTTCTACAGAAGACATGGCAGTAGCTCAGTGGGATTTTTGGATACTTCTGGTGTTGGTTTCTTTGAGCCATGCTTTACTCTCTTTGTGCTTTTATATAAGGAACTCTGGTGGCGCAGTCCCTATGGCATTTGACTGAAAACCAGAAGGATGGCGGTTCAAACCCACCAGCCGCTCTCCAGAAGGAAGATGGGGCAGTCGACTTCCGTAAGGATTTACCACCTCGGAAGCCCCTAGGGGTTGCTCGGAGTCGGAGTCGACTCCGTGGCAGGTCTGTGCAGTGAGTCCGCATCGACTCGACGGCTGGGTTTGGGTTGTGCTTTCATGTAGTTGCTCTGCCTGTTGTTGCCCATCACAGGTGCTCGTTCCCTTGTTTTTTGTGTGCCTTTCTCTGCCTGGAGACGTTCCTGTATGTTCAGTGCCTTAGAAATGCTGTTCTGTTCTTTCACGTGGAGAGAGTGCATTTCCGTGTCTCATTTCAGAGATTTTTGTCATGCTTTATAAAGAAAGTACTGTGGACTCTGTGTCATTAATGGGTGACTGTTTTAACTTTTAGAGGAAACCAGTGTGGTTTCAGAAAGTACATTTTCTCCCCTGATTGGAGCCTTGTCCTTCTGTGGCTCTCCTGGCTTTGTTCTCCTTCCGATGAAATGACTCACCACATCTCAAATTCTGACCTCTGTTCCTATGGTCCTTTCCAGCTGAAATACCCATAATGGACTTGATGAAGTTGTACGAAGGTGCCTTTTTGCCAAATTTTCAGTGGCCGCAACCTAAACTCGACAGTGAGGAGACAAGCGAAGAGGAAGGTATGTTTCTCAATTTTTAAAAACTTCAGCTTATGGAAAGGCCAGAACACTCTCTGCGGAAGGAGGCTTGAAACAATCTCCTTCAATTACCTTTGGTTTTGTTTGATGAAAGCAAAAATCAGAGAGGTATTTAATAAATAATTTCACATTCTGTGCTTTTTATTTATAAACTAGGTATGATTTTCAGAGCACCGAATCAAGTTGTAAAGAGGGCTGGGATACTTTTCCATGGCTTTCTGAGAGTTGTTGTACGGATGTAGGGTTTTATGGCATTTGTCCGTCCTGGGCTCTTTGTTTAATGCTGGTTTTGAGGAGTTCCTTCTACACTTCTTAGCTGTTCCACACTAACAAAAGGATACACCCAGAATGTATTGTGAAAACCAAACCAGTGTCCTCCTTTTCCTTGTGATCACTCAGACCGTTCTGATGATTAGAAATACAGGCATATAGGACCGGGCAGGGTAGGCAAGGGAGAGTAGTGGAGTGGTGCTCGGGGAAGTGGGGAGACATCTGGATCCCCTTCCTGGTGGAGAGACCTGCAGGAGAGAGGCCGTCTGCCCGCATTTGCCTGTCCTGTGGGACAGCTCCAAGTTTCCTTTACTGGTGGTGGGGACAGATCACTGAGCCCTCAGGTACCTGTAAATCTTGTCCTGGTGTTAGTTCCTGATAGCTGTGGTGTGTTCTCAGTTGCCAGGCTGTTTTTGGAAAAATTACACTTGAGGGTTCCTAGAAAGGTGCTGGGTGTGGTGGTCTCCTGAGGGTCTGTGTGTGTGTCCATGGAGCACGCGTGGTATGAGCACACGAAACACACGCACGTGGTGCTGGGTGTGGTGGTCTCCTGAGGGGCTGTGCGTGTGTCCAGGGAGCATGCATGGTGTGAGTACACGAAGCACACGCACACGGTGCTGGGTGTGGTGGTCTCCTGAGGGGCTGTGCGTGTGTCCAGGGAGCACGTGTGGTGTGAGCACACGAAACACACGCACACGGTGCTGGGTGTGGTGGTCTCCTGAGGTGCTGTGCGTGTGTCCAGGGAGCACGCGTGGTGTGAGCACACGAAGCACACGCACGTGGTGCTGGGTGTGGTGGTCTCCTGAGGTGCTGTGCGTGTGTCCAGGGAGCACGCATGGTGTGAGCACACGAAGCACACGCACATGGTGCTGGGTATGGTGGTCTCCTGAGGTGCTGTGCGTGTGTCCAGGGAGCATTGGTGTGAGCAGGCGAGGCACACGTGTAGAATAACCACTCAGTTTTGTATGTGAGGCATTTTCATTCACCGAAGTCTTTTTCTGTTTTCAGTTGATGGTAAGTTGTCCCAGCAACCCCCAAATCCATCTGCTGTGTTGTGTTCCGTAGATGTGGAAGATGTCCCGAGTGACAGGGACAGTCGGAAGGACCTGGTCCTTATTGATTCTCTGTTCATCATGGACCAGTTTAAGGCTGCGGAGAGGGTGAATATCGGAAAGCCAAACACAAAAGACATCGCGGAAGTGACCGCCATGGCCGAGGCCATCCTGCCCAAGGGCAGCGCTAGGGTTATCACAGCGGTGAGTCCTTGGCTGCCTTTTCTACTTGCTGCTTAATTGTGGTGAAAATCACCCAGCATAGAGTTAACTGTCACGTGTGTAGCCGTCACCTCTGCTAAACGTGTTTGTTACCTCTAAGGAGAGCCTGTGTCCGTGATGTGGGCACTCCCCACTTCCCAGCAGCCCACCCCTGGCAGCCACCAGCCTGCTGTGGTCTGTAGGGGCTCACCTGTCCCGTACATCTTCTATAACAGATGGCATCGCGTAACACGTGAACCTTTGGGATGGCTTCTTTCATGGAGCTGCGTGTTTTCAAGGTTCATGCGTGTGTCGTTCCCTTTATGGCTGCACAGTGTTTTGTTGTGTGGGTGTCCTTCAGCTGGTGGACAGCTGGACTCTTTCCTCCTCCTGGCTGCTGTCCATAGTGCTGCTGTCCCTGCTTTGGGGCCTTGCTGGCTCGTGTGCTGGCTCTGGGTTTGGCTTTCTGAGAACCCAGCAGCTGTCCCCACAGCAGCTAAAGAATTGGGTGGCATCCAAGAGAGAGCAAGCAGGCAGCAGGGACCCGGGAAGGGGAGGGACCCAGGCGCCAACGCCTAAGAGGCAGGAAAATGGAGGGAAAAGAAAAGGACAGCCAGGGCGTCCAAGAGAGCAAGCAGTAGCAGGGGTCCCGGTGAGGGAGGTGCAGAGGTTTCGAACAGCTAAGGGAGACAGACTTGTCTGTCGGTTTGTCATACTGTCGTGGCATGTTGCTGTGAGGCTTGAGGTTGTGCCACCAGGGTTTCAAACGCCAGCGGGGTTGCACATGGTGCACAGGTTTCGGCATGGCTTGCAGACTGAGACAGACTAGGAAGAAGGAAGAGGCCATCCACTTCTCAAAAAATTGGCCAGGGAAAACTTATGAATAGCAGAGAAGCACTGTCTGTTACAATACTAGGCAACTATACGACTAGCCTGCAAACACTGTCAGGTACAGTGTTGGAGGATGAGCCACTTAGGTCAGAAGGCTTTCAAAATATGACAGAAAGAGCAGCATCGTCAGAGTAGAGCCAACCTTATATATAGATAAAGTAAAGCTTTTGCTTGTTGATATATGTAAAGTAAAGCTTTTGCTTATTAAAGCTTATTGATATAGGTAAAGTAAAGCTCCATTTGCTGACGTGACACGACTCAAATTGAGGAGAAACTGCTGCAAACATCCATTAATAATAGGAAC